GGCATTTATTGAAATGAAAATCATCCCGAATAAATTAATTACATTAAAAAAATCAGTATAAAACTTGTTAAATTTTCATGTCCGCTTTCGATTTCATTTAAGATGTTTGTATTTTCACGAAAGACAATCATAATATTCAGAAAGTTTAAATTCAAAGTTGGTTTTGTTTTTAAATGTCACCTATTAATGGTTTACACGCGTCACTTATTCAGAGTTTCCGAAACAAGAATTTAAAACAGGAATCAATTAGAATTTCAGTTTTAAGTCAGGATCAAATAAATAAATAATTTGTACCGTGTATTTGAATGCACTATTTTTTCTTCTAATGATATACGTAGATATATAAGAAAAACAGTGTGATTTATCAACAGCTATTTCATGCATGTATTGAACTTGTACAGAATCAATATTATTAATATAGTGTAGGTTATTATAAATACCTTCTGTTCAACATGCAAATCAATAAGTAACTATGTATCCAGATGAATTCATAGCACGAATAAAAGTTAATAAATCGCCTATACTCCGCAAGGTAATGTTAAATTTGCTATTAATTATAAGATATGATTCATATCGATGATCCGTATTAACTAACACACAACACATCAGCGTAATGACAATATTGTAAATCGTCACGTGCACCTTCTGAAACAGTCGTGTAGTCATTACTGAAACAAGACATGTTTCCTCTATATCAGACTGCAAATGATGATTTCCAGATAATTTTTAAATTAGTAAAAGAGACCATTTTTTATTAAATGTAGACTATACATAATTTACGTGTTTAAATTTTGATTGGTATTTTTTTAAACAACATATCTCATCTATTATGTAAGATGACAAGTAGAATATTATCTATTAATGGAATTTTATTATATTGAAGTTAATATACTTTTAAGAGGGGTGTTGAAATATGAATGCAACTTGGCCAATATCTCGCTTTTAATTATGTTTTGCACGAACTATGTACATGTATCGCATAAATAGTTGTGTAAGCTCTAAATTGACACAATACATGTCTAGCTTTGACAATAGCACAATTTACGTTATCTATCGTGTATACTAAAGCTAAAATGGTTCACTGACCAAATACGGTCCTATATCAAGAAACGCTGTATTCTTGGTATACTATCTAAAGATATATTTAATGAATTATGTCGTGTTTATAAGAACAAAAACCAATTTTTTTTTCATCTGTCACACGGTGGTGTAAGGAATTTAAAATTGGTGTTGATTCAGTAAAAGATAACCTAGTGCACGCCGTCTGAAAACTGCAACTTCGCCAAAAATTGTTGAAAAGTAAAGGTTTTTATTGCTATTGAGATTTTCCACTAGGTATATAGGTAAATGCGTAAGTACCTCTGTAGGAGCCGCGCATACAATTCGCAGATGTGATTTAAAAATGAGAAGGGTAAGTGCCAGATGGATATCCCGTCTCCTTACAAAGAGCAGAAACTTGCTCGGGTTAGAATCTTCAAACATTTATTGAAACAGTTCCCTATTTGCAAATATCATCACTGGCGATGAGACAAGGTTCACTTTTATGAGCCCAGGCGAAAGATACATAACAAAATATGGGCGATCAAATAGCAAAATGCATCATGAGCGTCAGAAAGTTTATGTATAATCAAGGTCATGCTATCCAAATTGCCGTACCAAAGGGTAAATCTGTAAATGTCAAGTTTTCAAAGGTAAAATCCTTCATAAATTTAAAAAAATATATTTCAAAAATCGTCGACCAGCAAATGGTCTCCCCGTGGTGACAGGTTGTTGCATAACAATGCTTCGTCACACAAAGCGGTCATTGTACGAGAATATCTGAAACAGGAAAAGGTTGTCGAGCTTCCTCACCCTCCTTATTCGCCAGATCTTCTCCCTTGTGACTTTTTCCTATTTCCGAGGCTAAAAAAAAACGCCTTGCTGGAAGAAAATATCAAACGCGGAAAAATCTAGGTTTCAACAGTTGATAAGTTTTAGTGAATTAGAATTAACATTTGTATGCTGAATAACAATATTTTGTTCTATCTGCCCTATAAATATACCCGTTTGATTTATCGGACTAAGTATCTAACACTTGCCAACAACATCCGTGGTTTGTTGTTATATCTGAAACTATCTTCTATCAACGTACTTATTTACTGTATTAAGAAAACCACTATTACAGACAATTTCCCTTTAAGCAATATCTATTTCCGGTTCTGATGGCCTGGTCATCATAATTTGATAGATAATAGTTTTGACACACACACTCGCGCAAACATTCTCATACATCCATCCATCCATCCATCCATACATCCATCCATCCATCCATCCATCCATTACATATTTTGACATTGACTTTACTGCCATTCGTATTTAATACCCTTTCTTTGTGGCAACAAATAGCAAAATATTAATTACAATTCTTGATTTATTGTAGAAGTTGAATAAGTTTAGTTCTATTCTTTTTCGATTTTAATTAGGTAGTATAATAACCATTTCTATTCAAACAAACCAAAACATGTTTGTGAAGTGCAAAACTTCGGTACTTAAGTTGTGCTGTTGTTCATATGCAAGGAACACAAGAACAATACCTTAACGGGTTCCAGGTCTAGTGGCTGTCTTAATTTTAAGGTGGTTGAATGGGTTAAGCAGGACCTTCGCCATATGACCTTATAAGTGTCGGTGTATACAGGACAAAAAAGCTGTAAAATGGAATAGGGAAAAACACTCTGATCAACTGAGAACATACAGAAAGACAATCATTGTTTAGGAAATAGATATCAGTTCTGAGTGTATTGTTGTGGAATAATATACGTTTCGAATTCAAATGCGTCGGAATGTAATCATGAAGGACGATGGGCCCGAGTAATTACAAAGCATTTAAACTAAAAACAGTGCATTATTATTTTATAATTCACGTTAAAATGATATTTATTTCCATTCTAACATGCTTATAAAAAAAGAATTGATGAAAATATGTCGTAGAATTAATTTTTCTGACGTATTTTGGTTTATTGACCTCTGACGTCATATGTCGTGTTAACAACCATTCCATTTTTATGTACTGCATATTACATGTATGCACTTGACTGCCCTATGTGCTTGATATGAGAATAGTGTGATAGAATGTTAAAAATTTTCATTTTATTTTATCCGATAATCAAAACCAACAACTTACCTATAGTTTATCTGTTCGAGACATTTCAAGCACCTCTCATCACAAATCTAACATAAGATCAATTAAAATGTTAATTCAAAAACTTTTTATATAGCATTTTTACTACAGAAACGTTTAACCATGAAGGCCCATCAGGGACTTGATTTTTCATGTGAGGAAGCTGTCCAGCTACTTTGAAGAACGTCAGTGCGTCTACTCTTGAAAGTACCCCCCGTTCGATTCTGAAACTATGCACGGAATGGCACACGAGGTCTTTCTCCAGCAGTATAAGTATAATGTCAACATACAACCTACGTATATACTGTGTTGGTGCAACGTAAAGAGAGATCTTATTAGCTTCTTTTATCGTGCGAATTTGAGCAGGTACTGTAAAGTGAACTCTAGTCATAAGTGAAGTTAAAACCATGAACGTTGCATACAAAGGTAAAACATGTAAAGAATTCGTACAGTTTTTATAATATATACATAAATAATATTTGATATATTACATAATACTTATTTATTCGATTTGACCCATGGAGAGTTTATGTAACCGTTGCACCATGAACTACATGAACTGTATAATAGGTATTTTATATTGCATTAGTGTGTAGTTTAGTGAATATATATTGTACATGAACTGAGAAGAAATTTTGTGAATATTTGTACTCGTGGACATATTGTGAATCTTGAAAAGACAGTAGAATGAGAATCTTTTTCACCTTACAGCCTGTTTATTAATTTAAATTGTTGTTGCCTTTTACACCTTCACACCTCTGTTCAATTTATACCAAAGTAAATAACAACTTTTTATGGTGCTAACAATATCGCTTGAAATAGGATTATTTAGAATAGAAGCAATTAATAAGTGATTATTTTGCTCTTTTACTTGTAAATACAAAGTAATAAAAGATTGTAATAAGAATATTTAAGGGTAAAGAGTTATTGAGTCTCTTTATCTCAATTTAATTTTTACTTAAAGTCTTTGGTGCTTTTTTATGATGAATACTATGTTTACATTTGAAGGAATATTGCAGCAAATTATCTTTAGATTTGATAACTTACTTTTTCACAAAAATAAAATAATGTAATTTGCAGCTTTATTTTATGAGAAAAATTGATGCTATTTTTATCAAAACCAAAAGTACTGCCTAGTAATGCAGTAGCAGTACCACTTTTTAAGACAGTAATGCAGTACCAGTACCAGAAGTAGCAGAATTTTGTAAGTGTAATTCAGTATCAGTACCAGTACTTGCAAAATCGCTGCAGTACGTACTGCAGTACCAGTACCAGTAATGCAGCTCTGCCCACAACCAGTCACGTTTTGTTTTCGTGTTCCAAACATGGGTAAAGCAGGGACTTTTCGTATTCCATTCTAAGAACTTAGCTTTGTCACAGCCGGGAACGTTATGATCGAACCCGGTAGTCCAAACGTACATTGCATGATGCTTACGTGCTGCGACCGCTCTGACGTCACATTGTTCGGCTGTGACGTGATCATTGGCTACCAAAACCTATCGGCACCGATCCAATAGTTAACATTATAACTTTATGAATATTCATATTGACTTAATCTAAACAAACAATATATCTTTCTCCAGTAGTATAAAACTACTCACAAAAACATGTTCTTCTCAATGGTATCACCAAATTTACACTGCAGCCTCAAACTTTTGTTTGTCACTTGTGCAATTGTTAAGGTTCTAATCATATAAAATCTTATTTGTTTGATATATTTAGCGAACGTGACATCCGTATCGATTTAATCTGTGACAATGGATATAACATAACATAACATAACACATAACATAATATAACATTTTATTCGACATTAAAATTGTAACAACAAAATTATAGTCGATTTACATCAAATAGTGCAAAATTGAGACACGTGATTTCCTAACCTAAAAATATATATATATATGTTTACAGAAAATTTCATAAGAGGACGAATGCCAATCATGTTAAGATAAAATATGTATTCGGTACACTGTAATTATTATTTAAATAACAATCATAGTGCACAATTATCTGAAATGTATTGTCGGGGCGAGAACTCTGCAAGTGTGTATAGGTTATTTTTGTGCGAGTTGTGTCCCTTTCATTGCAAAAGTCAATTTGATAAGGAAGTCCAATCGGAACGGTTTGGTAGTTTCCGTAATAGTAAACGATGAAGAATTCCGAATGTTGATACGAAAGAATTAAGAAAATTACTCAGATAGATTTACATCAATGTCCGTTTACATTAATATATAAAAGAAACTTTGATTAGACAAATGTATTTATTATATACTTATAGATGAAATATTGAGAAATATTGATGAAATAAAATGGGTAGTAACTGTTACATTTTCCGTATTTTCACTGTAAAAATATATTTTTCACTGCAGTGAAACATATTTTCCATATTTTCACTGGTGTCTTGCCCGACTACTTTCTTCTTAATTCAGCCTATACACAAAATTTATATATGGGGAAGTAATTCAAATTTTAATGTCAAAACAGAAAATCCAAGTTCTTTTTGGACACGGCCTTGTCCATGTTCGCCCTTCTTTAATCTATAGTAAATCTGTCACATTTAAAGCTTCATTATGGACTTCTATTAAACTCAGCAGAATTCTGTATTACATAACTTTAAACATCAACACTAGACAAGTTAGTCGAAGCCCGAAATGTCCTATGTTAGCCATCTAGATTTCAGAATATTTCTTAATTTGTTAAGTCACTATCAAATTATCAAAGTTTCAAATGTCATGTATGCTGGCGTGTAGTACTTCTCGAATCCTTCCACCAAGAAATGAGATCCTGCAGAATACACAAAAAACAACTTTTAAAGTCATCAGAAATGACACTAAATGTACACTGTTACAATAAATACACTTAAAATGTAACCAGTCACATTAAAAATGACTTGAAATAGGGCACTTCAAAATTTCAAAGAACTATTTTCTAGCCTACAACCGGCTGGGTCTAATTCCGTACCGGGTTGAGACCTAAATGAATCCAAAATTTAAGTTAAGTCAAAATTTATACTCATTTCCTAGTAATTTATTGTTATACAAGTACAATTATATAGGTTTGACATGTCTGTAACAAATAACATTAATGCAGTACAATTTCTTACATATGAAACTTCATGCGAAAAATCAGCCTCGGCCAATAGAATTTTACGCAAAAATTTATATCACAAATTCTGTCATATCTTTTGATTTTGTTAATGGATTTTCTTCAAATAAAGTTAACTGTTACCGGCTAATGTCATTTAGTTATTTTTATGAAAGAATAAGCCCTTATTGCTTACAAATTGTAATAATAACTCCATTTATTTTAATTAGGGCATGAAATTTTGGGTTAAAATACAAGTAATCACAATTAAATGTGTTTTTTTCATAACTTTTTCTTTCAATTTTGCAATAAAACTTCCTGATTATGATTTTTACCTATATAGCATGGTAAATAAAGTAAAGTACCAATATATATACCCTACAAATTGTTTGCCTAAGATATCAATAAAGACAAACAGAGGTTATCTTAAGTTTAGCAAAGAGGTTAGCAAAGAAGTTACCATATCACCATGGGCTATGTCTTCTGACAAAGTAAGATTAACCAACTCTCACCCAAATAAGGCTAAAAAATGATTGCACATACTGTCTCCCACTTTAAATCATTGAAAAGTCTTGAAATAGTCAAAATTAGAGAAATTTTCTCTGGATATACATCAAAATATCTACCAAATATTGCCTGAGCATTGGGAATTGTTGCCGTCAATAGCTGAAGTTTCAAACTGGACATAAGTTATTACCTTCTCATCTTGTCCTGACAAATCTGCTGCCAAACTGAGCTGAAGGAGTTCTTCCATAGATCTTAACCAGTATATAAGGTAAGGTCACCCCGGCTTTGGTAACTGCATGGTCTGAAAAAAATATGCAACACTAAAACACGTCGAAGGAAATTATAAGAGGCATTTGTGCTGTAAATTTTGATATCAAAAAAAAGGAAGAAAAAACATTTCTTAATTAATCAATGGCTTGATTTGCTTATTCACACAGGAGGGCTTAAATATTGTGTGCTTAAAAATGCATGCCTGCATGGAAATAGCAGTTACGACATTATAAAGCTAACCTATTTTAACTGCTGTAGCAGCTGCTACAACAACAAGAACAATCACATCAACTGTTTTATAATTCTAAATGAGCCAATTATTCATAAACTACACTGTTTAATGACTAGACCATTTTTTTGTGTGTATAAATTAGCAATTATATACATTCTGCAACACAGCAAAACATCAAGATTCACTACACTGAAAATGCCTATATTTCCAACATGTAAATCACATGTGTCATGTTCAATTGTCAGTTCTGCTTCATTGAAATACAAGACACTAGTGAATATTTACAATATGATTACTGCAGCATCAACTCTTTGCTGAAACATCAGTGCATATAATGTGTGGTCCATATGAGCAATAGGCTACTATGGTGCTTGTTCGAATCCCATGGCCGGTGCTTCTTGGGCCCCTAAGACCTCTGGAATGAGCTTGCCAATCACCTTTTTGCCAATGTAACCAGCCTGAAAACATGCACTCCCCAATTCCTTGCTATGCATGGTTTATCCATAATTCAAGGTGCATTTCTCTAAAAAATATCATTTTCTATATAAATCTTATAAAAATAAGCTATAGAGCTAGTAAATTGCTAAACACAGGGTGCAAAAATAAAATTTACCAATTTATTAACTGTGTTGTGAATGCAGGAAATGATTTAGTGGTCCTAGACCTACCGGACTGCATGCGCATGCGCGACGGTTTTCGCGGGACTGAAAAAGTACCCGGATAGTTCTAGGACTGAGTGAATTGAGTTCTGCGTTGGCTGGCAAAGTGGCAACATCGAGATCAAGCTTTGGTAAGCTCCCGGCCTGTTTTCCCTTCTTTAGGCTATGATTTAAGGAAATACAACATTGGCGACGAGGATTAAAACTGGATAGCAGGGCAGTGACTTTTGCATGTCATAAACGTCATTCATTTGTAGTCAATTTTCGCGACATTCTGGACCGTTGCATAAATTGGAAAATTGACTTTGACATTCAGTTGGCATTGTGAAATAACCACTCGACGATAGCCTAAAGG